AACCTCCTGCCCTTGAGCATGTTTGGGGACAAAGAATTCAGGGTCATGGAACAGCAGATGTGGGGTGACAGGCAGCACCTGGCTGCTTTCTACAATGGTGGTGGTCACCTCCCAGCCCATCACGGTTTCCTGAAAGGTGTGTGCTTGCAGCACAGCCCACCGGGACTCCTCTGTGTGTGCCTGGGGTCTGCCTCCAGCCAGGGAGCACCAGCCTCAAGGGCTCTTCTCCACCCAATGGACCGGTGGAGGGGGCGTTAGTGGATTGTCCTCCATGAAGGGCACCATCCACTCCTCATTGTTTGCTGGTTACGCGTATAGATGACTGTGTTCCTCTTCAGCAGAAGGTGAATCAAAAGAAGTGAAAGTTCTTTGGCAATAGTAGCTTGCATGGGGAAATCGTTTTCATCTTCCAAGACTGCAAGACATGGAAGTTACTTGTTTGGAATATTGGAGGGCTCCTTGTTTCCTATTTGTCAGTCACTCACCCTCTGCTGATCATCATTGGTTGTGCTCTTGTTTTTCACCCTGGCCTTGCCCCACTTGATTCTCTGCTATACACAATAAGTCAGTCTCTTTATTGTGGATCCTGTCACACTATTTTTTAGTGGCAAATTCTGAAGTCTGGGAGTCCAAAGGCAATTTCTTGGTGCAGTTTCTGCTGCTTCCTTGCTGTGTGACTGTACACTGAACATTTAACTGCTTTGAACCTCAATTTCCTGGCCTGTAAAATGAGGGAGTTGGATGAATGAATCCCCATGATATCTTGAATTCTGTGTGTTTGAAGGAGCTTTTAGCCAATGATTTGTGTCACAAATATGAACCAGTAACAATACTTCTCCAACTTAGCCTGTGGGTTCCTTCCATGGCAGTGGCTAGTCTTCCTGGTGGAAGTTTTCATTTAACTCAAAACAGCATCCCCAGCTCACCACTGAGGTGCTTTCATGTTTATCTCTCTCTCTTTTTTAAAGATTTATTTATTTATGCATACAAGAACTGAGGTAAAAGCCAGAGGTGTAGGGGTGAGAGGATTCACTAGTGACAGAGTGGGAAACAGAACAGTCGGATTGACTGAAATCCAGTGCCGAGGGGAGCCGAGGGGAGACAGGAGAGGTCTGCTGTGCCATGTGGGTATCTCCCTGGCCAGGTATTGAACTCATGCTGTAGTGGCTGTGGATAGCTTCATAGGCTGCGTCTTAACCCCCTGTGCCACCAGGGAGGTCCCACTTTCCTGTTTCTCTTACTGGGTGGGGCTCCAGGTGATTTGACATTGTAACTGCGATCAGGTGAAAGGATGCTTATATTAGAGTAGTAGAATACAGAGAGTTAAAGAGCATAAAAGGCTTTGTAAAGGGGCCTTTCTGAAAGGCCATTCTATTTCCTGATGCTTGAGATCATCTTAACAAAGACCTGCATTTTATGAGCATGCCATGCCTTTAGCCCAAGACTCCTTGTCCTGTTCTGTTCAAGGAAACTGCCAGGAGCTTCTGAAGCTAAACCATACAGCACAACATAGCCCCACGGGAACAGGTTCTCAGATTGTGCAGGAAAGAGTCCTTTTCACTTGTCCCTCTGGGCTGTAGTTTGGGCATTCACGTTTGGCAAAGAGAGAACTTCGAGTTCCCTCTGCCGGGGGAGGCGTGCCCACATGGCCACGGTTGTTTGGGCGTGGGGTGGACTTGAGGGTCAGCCAGTGCTTATTTCAGCCATCTACGGCCACTGAGAGAAGGGGAAACTTTCTGTACTCCCTTCAGCTTTTGATAGCTGTGAAATTTAGGTAATTTTCATACTCTAGTCAAGGTATGGTTCAATTGATTTCTGGAATTCCTTTTTATTTTCACGGGTGTTTATCTGGAACATTTCTGAGGACTCCATGAAAGGGGGAGAACAGAGACACCCACATACAGGGAACTTAGGAATTGGGCACACCTAAATCTGGCCCTTTTGGACCCTGCGCCATGGCCCTGACCCCACAAATACACCCCAAAATACACTTCCAAATACACCCCCAAATACACCCATAGTCTGGTTGAGTCTACCTCTGAACAACACCAGACCCTTCCCCAGAAGTGCCAGTGCTAAAACAGGACCTGGGAAAGCTCAGCCACAGCCCTGCCTCCCTCCTCCAAGCTCTGGAGTGCTCCGAAATTAAGGACAACTTGGGTTGGGGTCACTTGATGAAAGCACTATTTAATTCATAAAACACCCTTAATGGAAAATGCCTAAACCAATTTGGTTTCCAAATGTCTTCATTTTGGTTTTTTATTATTTTATTGGGTTTTGACATGTCTAGCCAGGTCCTGGGTAGAGGAGGGAGAGAAGGGGATTATTACCTAGGTCAGTGTTAGGGTGGTGGGGTGGGGAGAGGGGCTTGCATTCTAGTCCTGGCTTCAGCTTTAATAGTGGGACACCAGGCTCGTGGGCTGGCCTCCCAGTGCCCCAGGCACCTCAGATGCTATGTGCCTATCTGCCTTCCAGACTGGATTCCTGCAAGAATGAGAGGGAAAATATTTCTGCATCTTGAAGATGTTAAAATTGGGTGATTACTTAAAGCTGTATCCAACATTTAATAGGAAAGGGATCCCCTTATTCACCACATGCAGAATTAAGTGTGAAAGAATCACAATTGGACTTTATCTCTCCAATTAAAAAGTTTTTATAACTAGGACCAAACCCTGATGTTTGTTACCAGAGTAACTAGGGTCACAGTGAATGAGTTGGAAAGCTAGTCTGTTTCAGCTCCTCGGTTTCCAAAGAGCATCATGTCAGAACTTAATGGTTGTAGTTTCTCAGTTGCCAGGACATTTCAGTCATGGGTCTGATTCTAGAAGCCGTGTTCTTCTAGAGAGACAGAAAGGATGACCCCACCGACGAGGCTGACGCCAGCCAGCCGAGATACTGTGTCTCCCTGCAGGGGCCCCTGGGGACCTGGGGAAAGGATGAGGGGAGGCCAGCTGGGTTCCCTGGGCCAGAGACCAGGAGCCCTTGCTCTGCTGCTTTTCCCACTCATTGTGCAGTCTGGGCCCTATCACTTGAGAGACCTGGCAAGGAAGTGAGGAGGAAGTGAGTGCCACTGCTGGTTCAGAATGTTCCAGTGTGGTTGGAAAGTTTGAGAAGCGGCCTGGGTGAGAAGAACAAGACCTTATTGACAGGGTTCAGTCCTGGTCAGGTCTGTTTCACATCAGCTTTCTACATAATCACCACTCTCCCTGCCCCCAAGGATCTCCAGCACTTTCTCTGCCTACCCCCATTCCTTTTTAAAACATTCTATGCTGCTATGGTAGAACACAAAGCGTTTAAACTTTTTATCCCAAGGTAAATTATAAAATGTGAACAGAATAGCATTGCCTGTTTCAAGATGATGCCAGTCCTACCGAAACCAAGATGGAACTTCATACTTTATACGGTTTTCCAACTCGCTGTAAAAGTATGCTAATTGTCGATCCTTTTTCTATGAAGTTGTTTCCTCGCTGATTGATTTCTCATGATTCTCGCACTTCTGATGGTCGATGCAGGCTGCCTCGGCCTGGTCTGGATTGTCCAGTTCTCTTTTCTGACAGACCGTATGGTGTGTGTATAAAAACCACACGATTGTGTGTCTATCATAAGATTGAGAAGAAAAGGGATATGCCAGGCCTTTCTCTTTTCCATGTGAGCCGTTGGAAGTCAGGAAGTCAGAGGAAGCGGCTGGAGCCTTATGGAGCCACAGACTGGGTCCCTGGCTTGCTCGCTGCCGTCCTCCTGGAGTACCGCGTCACCTCTGCCTCAGTGAGGGAAACATGGGCAGCCCCGTCCCTCTCAGGACTCTTAGGTCCAGCTTTAAGTCAGGTCCTGATAACCAGTTGCTTCAGTTTTCTTTTACCTGGTAGGTAAAAGAAGCTTTTGGAGCTCAAAGTGGTCTTTGCAGCTTTTTGAAACTGAGAAACCGACAGAGCCCAAATATTCCCTACTTTTAAACACACACATGTCTAGTCCATTTTTTATGTTTAATCCTGGGTGGATGGAGGGACCCTTCCTAGACTTGAAGCAGATGGACAGCTATGAGATTGATGACAAAATGTCTTCCCAACTCATGTTCTGAGTGAGGCTGGTGATTTTTTTTTTTTAATATTAAAAAAAAAAAGTTTTACTAGAATGAAATTTTCTCATCCTTTGGCTTCTGAATCGTCTAACTAGAAGGCCCTCTTACTTATTTTCCCTAAAAGTGGCACATGAAATGATTTAGTTGAATGAACATCTCTTATCAGACATTTTTAAAGGAATTATCAAAAACCAGTTGAAAATCTGTTTAGTCAGACACTTTCATCATTATGTAGAGATCGGCTGTGTGATGAGAATGCGCACAAATGAAGTACTTAATGTTTTACAAAAAGCAAGCACCCGCCTTTTAGTTAAAGTCCATGTGTTGTGCACACATCATATTCAGCAATAAGAATATCAGACTGATTGCCCCCACCTCCCGAAACTGTTTCTGTGGTGACCTTCTGGGATCCTTGGGGCGGAAGGCAGCTCCCACGGCCTTCCCTTTCTCCACTCGCATCTTCTTTCCAAGCTCCAGAGCTCTCGTGCCAGCCCTCCACCTGTAATTTCTTTCACAACCCCTCGAAGTAGCCAGATTCCCATTTTAGGTCCCTGTAACTGAGGCCCTTTGCTTTGCCACACGGATTTTGCAGGATTCACACAGCTGGTAAGTGGCCAGACCACCCCAGCTCTTCTGATTCCCCGAAGCTGCATGCTCCTTGTGCCACTTCTCACCCCTGGGGTTCAGACTCTTTCCCTGTGCCTGTGACGCCGTCACACCGACGCAGGAGATGTGGAAATGCCGGGCGAGCCATGCGCCACGCTGTGACCCCATCCCCTGCGCTCTTGTTATTTCGGTTGTCATGGCCTTTTGTTGAAACTTCTATAGCCTCCCAATGCCTTTCCCCAAACCCCCAGCCTTGGCTGCCTTCCATGCTGGTCGTGATGGGTCTGACACTTGTCCCTTTTCCTTCTCTTCCCAGGATGGCTCGTACTTGGCCGAATTCCTGCTGGAGAAAGGCTACGAGGTGAGTGACTCAGTGAGTGAGCACAGCCCGCGGAATCGCTGGGACACAGAGGCCTGCTGCTTCCTCTGCGGCCGTCCCCCTGTGTGTGTTTTCCACGGAAACTCTGATAACAAATCGAAATCAGGGGAGGAATGTGCCGCTCAACTTGTCAGCGTGCCAGCTCATTGTGCTATTTATCTGCTGGGGAGCACTGGTGGCTTCCCCCTGTTCCCCAGCGCTGAAGAGCTCTGCACGCTTCCCACATTCTCAGATAAAGCCGCAACCCGTGTCCACTAAGAGCTGGAACGTTATTAGGCTTAATTTATGATGTAATGTGTTGCATAAAAAAGTCCCACTCACAGTGAAGTCACTTAATTCGGAAATTGCACAGAATAGTAAAAAGCAAGCTGATCTTTGGCAAGCTTGAATGAAAAATTTACATGCAGAGAATTTTGCGTTGTGACAGGCAGTCGTACATTTTGTGGATGCTGGAACTTGTGGGTTTGATGCTGTCACTGTCACCATCATCCTGAGCATTGTTGGCTTCTCCTCCTCCTTCTCCTTCAACACTCTGCTTTTTTAGAAGAAATGAGGGTTTTTATATATGTTAAGTTGGGTGTAGCTCACTGTGTGCACCTGACGTTTTAGAAACTTTTCCAGATAGAAACATCTATATAACTTGATGCTTTAGAGAGAACAAAAACCTAGCCAGTGACCCATGTGCTTTGTCCAATTTGGGAGCACTCACACGAATAATTTTGGATTTGCCTGTCTATCCCATCTTCAGGCACATGGTGTAAAAATCATCAGCACCAGGGCCTGTAGGGCAGCAACAGAAGGCAGCCGGTGCACAGGCACCAATAGCATCAGGAGGAAAGGAAGCTCTTTTCTTTCTGTAACTCACCATTTTTTCTGAGAGTCTTGACTTTTGGACTTTAAGAAGTAGGAGGAGATGTGCCTCGCACCTTCTGCACCCTTAAAATAGCTGGCTCTGCATCGCTCTTGGGTCAGGACAGGACAACACAATCATGAAGCACACACTTCACAGGCCCCTGAATAATAAAGTGATAAACACTGATAGTTACTCAGGCGGGATGAACTCAGGGCTTTAGTCGATGGAAGGACAGGTTTGGCAAGAGAATTTCAGATGTTGGGGCCGGCTGAAAGATGCAAGGTGGCTAGAGAGAAGTGAGTGCTGTGGCTGTGCATTGAGTGCATAGGAGAAGCAGCTAGCTGAGTAATGGTTGGCTGGGTTTAGGACCTGCTACCCCCAAAGATGGCGCCTAGGTATAGTAAATATTTTAGTCTGGAAGAGAGTGAGAAAACAGAAGAATCAGGACTTTTTACATAAAACTTGCATTGAAGAAAGGTGTGTGCTTTTTCTCCTGTTAATCTTTGTGGGTTTGATGCAGCAGAGGGGAAAATTCTCCTCTGCACTCTCTGGGACCCTGGCGGGTCTGGAAACTAAACGGAAAAACATACTTAAGTTTTATGTGATGCAAGAGCCTTCATAAGGAAATGAAGATGCGAAGGAATGGTTAGCCTGATTCCTTTTATTTTGGGATTGATGCAGAGGAGACAGTCATGAGGTACGTGTAGTGAGCGGGGGAGACTAGCGAGGATGTGCTTGTAGGTTTCTCCTGGCATCCCCTTGACTTCCGAGATGAGGGTGCTTCCTCCCTAGGTTTAGGGAGGGCACCTGTCACATGAAACTTTCTTGCCAGTTTCAGGAGAGAAGTTTGGGGGAGGTCACAGTGGACTCCCCGCTGCTGTTTTCTCACACACCTTCAGCCTCAAATGCTCCCTCTGCCAAGGTCCTACGCTTTGGGGTAGCATATCTGACCCTGCCATGATCTTGGCAGTTTTGAAGAGAGAGGTGGCATATTAGCGGGGTGGCCAGGGCTGCACAGGCCTGAGATATGCTTGCAGGCTGGGCCCTGGGACTGAGATCTGAGATGAGGGTGCAGCAGCACACAGTGTGAGGGCTAGTCCTGGGGAGAGGCTTGCTGGGTGGTATGAGGAGGTGGCCTTTTGATAATGTGGAGAACTCATGATATGGCCTGGGGCTGGTCTGGATATAGTGGATGGCCTACCTGCTCTGTCAGTACCATGGTGCTATGTTAGCCTTGCTGGAAAGATGGGGAAAAAGATGCACATGGAGAGCAAAGTCCCCCCGCCCCGCAGCCACCCGCCACTCAGACCACTCTGGAAAGAGCTGGCTGACTTCATGACTTCAGCAGGCAGGTGGCAACGTTCCTCAGTGAGTGAGAGACTTAGAAATAAATGCAAGGAGAAGCTTGGCCTGCCAGGTGATGTCTTCATCCTGCTGGGATTTATAAGAGCAGACTTGGTTCTGATAAAGACAATAGCTTGCCCACTTGGCAGATCAGTGTTAATGGGACGAATGAGTCATTGAAACAGTGATTGGCAAGCGAGGAGAGGCTCAGGAGCGAGGTCCTTAAATGGATAGAAGGAGGCGCCTGGAAAACAGAGAGGGAAGACACAAGGCTATGAGGCACAAGCAGAAGAGAGTCCTCCTCACAAGGGAGATGTGAGCTTGTTGGCCTGGGGCCATGAAGGGATGAGTATGGACAATGTGCTCAATATTAATAGGCTGTTGTCTTCATAAGCTGTCAAGAGGAATTCCACAGTGGTCCAGGTTCTATCTTTTTGTGCTGAGTTCAAAGTAAAGGTGAGGGTGATTTTTTTTGAGGAGGCAGCACTGGCAAATTTCTAGAATGATTAGCCAGCAGTCCTTGGTTACTCAAGACCATGAGCCAAATGGGCAGGGTAGTAAATTGCATGCAGTAGAATAAAAGGGGGGCAGACCTGTCCACACCTGAATCCAGGGGGTCAACGTCAGCCATTTCTAACTTAGTAGGTTCTTGGCGTTTGGGGTGAATCCTCCCAGAGGCCACCTTTAGACAAAGATGGCAGATGACATGGGGACCTGAGCATTGGCCTTTCTAACAAGCCCCAGTTGTTGCTGATGCTGCTCTCTTGGGTACCATTGCTTGAGAACCATTGTCCACATGAGGTCATCTCATCACGAGATGAAGAGGAACTGCATTCTTAAACATCTTCATGTGGTCGGCCTCCCTTCTCTGAGCTCTTATTCTGATTCTAGCCTTTGTATAAGGAACATCCACTTGGTTCAGAAGTGAACTGGAAATTACATCCTTTGGGGTAACGAAGTATCAGCCAGAAACAAATCAATGCTGTGAAAAAGAGCCACACATCTATGAACAGGCCTGAAACCAAGGCTGAGTCTCTCCTACAGGGAAGGGATCAGCTTGAATCGGCTAGAGGTGGTGAGGTCAGCCCTCCATTAGAAAGATGGGACATGGGGAGGCAGTGGTCAGCCGGGAAAGCAGTCGGAGGGCAGCACCAGCTGGGTGGGGCAGCAATGATAGGTTTGTGAGGGTAGAAACAGACCCCACAGGCAGAGTTGGCACAGTGCCACAGCACCGGGGGTACACTCCTTCCCCTTGCCACTAGCCAGAAAAGCAAAGCAAAGGTATAGAAAGCAAAGGCTGACTTTGAAGCAAAAATAGGCATTTTGTATAACTTGAAATGGAGTATCATCTATTCGTAAACAGGTTAGTTATGGCTTATATCACCTCGTTTGACCTCACACGCGAGAATCCCAAAAACGTGGACCTGGCCACTTCACATGGCCACAGAAATCCAGGCCTCTGATCATGGTCTGAACAAACTGTTTAATGTGACAGAGTGAAGGATTGCTTTTCCCCAGCCCAGTTCTCATAGGGAGGAGGCCCTATTTCGGGGTGTAAAGTCATAGTTTTTAATGTTGCTTATTTCTTGAACTTTGCTCAAGATTAAACACTCAGGAGGCTTAGAAAGAATGGTTCTAACACTCACTCGCTTATTGTTTATAGAGCATCTGTAGACATGGTCTCAGGAAGAAGAAAACAAAAATTGTAGGGTTTTGAGAAAGTCATCTTTTAAATACCTCATGTACCTAGTTCTGCACATCGTTGAACTGTCAAGGATCATTCCTTTTCATACCCTTTGGCCAGCTCAGAACAAGGAGGGGAAGGGTGACCTGCGTCCTCATCCTCCTCAGCCACTTGCTGGCCCCGAGGCTTGGGCGACTTCCACATAAGTGTCCTGAATTCCAAGGCTGTCATGAAGATTCAGCGAGGCAACCCACAGAAACCAGACCAGAGAGCACTGTGGGACCTGAGGGTGTGGTGACATGGAGTGACAGGGTGACAGCGGTGGATGGATCCTTACAGGCTGAGGGACCCAGGCTTGGTAGACGGCTCCTTAGTCCAATTCACTGATTTAGTGTTTAGTGATAGGCAGGCAGGTTACATCACCCTGAGCCTTGCCCCGGCTCATCTCTTCTCATCTTAAGGGAAAAAGGAAAATCGGTAGAAGGGAAGCTTCTTATGGAAAAACCCAGACCTTTTTATGGGTTTCATGTCGAAACCATTCTGAGTGCTGACGCAGTAGGTGAAGCTCACGCCCTTGACACTCCCCAGCTGAGTGGTCTCAGGCAGCACCACCTTTAGAATGGGGGTGATCATTGGGAAGTTGCTGGGAAAACTGTCTGAGGGGCATCCTGTCTGTAAAGAACAGTGTGTGCTGCACGGCCACTGCTATGTCATTAGCTTCTGGGATTGCCTGTGTTAACTATTCTTTTCAAAAGACAAGTGGAAATCTTGGCACTCAAGTGCTACTGGATTTGAAATCCAGTGCTAATAATTTCCATTTTGTTGATTATAATAAATAAATGGACATTTCTCTGGTTATATTACCTAACTGGAGTGTAGGTTTTCAAGTCCAACCAACTTTGCTCACGACATGGAGAGAACTTGAAATTTTCCTTTTCATCACTTAGTTAAGTGGGATATGAAATTTGCTTGTTAAAAGGCTCACTCCCGTTTATTTTTAGACCTCAGTTTTTCAGAATTACGTTTTGTTTTAGAACTTCCATAATATATCTATAGCTTCTGTAATATAATAATAATTTTGATTAACTTTTTATGAAGTCAGACTCAGCTCGTTTCTCTTTTCACTTTGGTTTCCTAACTCCTCATCTCCTTTTCCCCCCAAATCCCTATGAAAACAAACAAAAAACCCTACATACAACCCTTCTGTAAAAAGCAAGTCACTAATCTCAAATTCTTAACTTGAGTATCCAGTTTGCACACATTTTGGCTTGTCTATAAGTTTGTATTTCACCTGTCTCAGAAGCAGACAGACTCAGCTTTCATTCGTTCTTAGAATAATACTTGCTGTCATGGATTAAGCATTTGGCAGCTCTTTCTTTTCCTGTATACACATACCAAAAGTTGGGAGTGAGGGGAAATTAAAACACATTCTTTTTGTATTAAAAAAAAAAAGCTCCAAAAGCTAATGTTTAACGCTTTTGGTTATAAGTGTGCCAATAGTCCTATTTTATTTATTTGCCGTGACTTTATATAGTTGTCTGATTTTCACCCCAAATCCATCAATATCCTTTATCATTTTTATCAGGGCATTTTACGTGTGTGTGTGTGTGTGTGTGTGTTTGTGTGTATGGGGATAGAGAGAGAGAGGGAGAGAGAGTAAGAGAGAGAGAGAATGAATGTGTGTGGCATTTCTCCTTTGTTTGAGGCTGTTGGAGTATGTGACGTACCCAGAATCTAGCATTCAAGAGAAAAAAATACACTATATCTTATTAATCTTCTCATTGTCAATGTTAAATTGTATGTTTTTAGAAAATAGAACATTTTGAAACATTCTATTCAATGAAATAAAGCTCTACTTTCATCTGAGATGTCTCTACTTCTGTAATAACTTTTGTAGTAAACACCAGTTTTTCACTATATATAGGTAAATTTTTATTGAACATATATATGTATTTTAATTTGTAGAGCAGTTCAACTTTACAATCAAGTAAAGTCTTGAGCAGAGACAGTGAAATAGAATAAATTCTAAGTTTAATGTAAATTTTATTTTCTCCACTTCTCAATTAAGAAATGGATATGTATAGTCAAATCTCAATGTTCCTTAGGTCTTACTGTTTTCCTCCTAAAATGTCAACCAAGTTTGTGATGTTCCCTTCTTAAAATATTTTCATGTTTACCAAATTTTCTTGGATGTAGTTCTTTTGGAAAATACTGTGGACAAGTGCTTTTCTTTTTGACTAAAGCAACTAGCCAACAGAATTATTAATTGTGGGTGTTGTATCCTTTGCATAAGTCAATTTCTCATGTATGCCCTATAAAGTGACGGCGACATTTCTTTCTATTTGAAAGAAAGTCTTATGTGCTTATAACGTCCCCCCTGCATTCGGAATATTTGAGTCATGCCAAGGATTAATTTTGGTTTGAAATAGACAGAAAACGATTGAGTTTAAAATATAGAAGTGTATTCAGCTGCGAATGAAACTACCCAACATTAGAAGGAACACTTCTAAAATAAGTGAAGGATTAAAACTGCCAGCAGTAGAACTGGAAGGTGGGCAGCTGGTGACATGAGCTAGTATTAGCATTGGCAACACAAAGGGAGCAATCCCGACCCAAGAAGGAAGCGAGACTGGGCCTTGAACAATTTCTCTTATGTGTCAGACACAAACAGTCTTTTTTCCCAATATCAGATAGGTATGCATTCTTGTTGCGGTGACTTTTCTTCCCTCACATCATCATGGTTAAGTCAGAGATAAAAACTTAAAATTCTCTTTCCGCTTGAATTTTCTTATATGTTAAATCTAGCAGAGCATAAATAGTTTATACCTTAAGCTATACTGCTTAGCTTCTGACTTTTCCACACAGTCCTATCATGGTAATTGCTCTCTGATGCTTGGTGGGCTCAAACAAGAGTACGTTGGGCATCCTGTTGGCCCATCGGGGATCCTTGGCCTCAGGCCTTGGGTCAAAGAGACTGCAAAGCCAGTTGACTGAGGTGGCCTCATATGTCCGTCTTTGATTTCAAACCAAGAGACCTTTTTGTTAGCAGAAGGGCCCTGAGTGTATGTGTGTTTGGAAAAGGAGACATTTGAGTATCTACACTAAGCACTTGTGAAGTCCCATCATGATCTAATTACTTTTGTTGAGACTGGCAGTGAAGACACTGGAGAAGTGTCTTTAAATATTGCATATTTAAAAATGTTTATAAATAGCAGTTTTTCATGCTCACAAGGCTAAGCACTAGCAAAAGTACTTCTGAGTTGTTTATGAAGTAAACCTCACTGCACGTTTCTCATTTGCTTTTATCTTTCCACACTATAAAAACGCAGGTCCATGGCATTGTTCGGCGATCCAGTTCGTTCAACACGGGTCGGATTGAACATCTGTATAAGAACCCCCAGGCTCACGTTGAAGGAAGTAAGTAATTTGCTTCTTCTAAAATCTCTTTCCTTAACTTCCTATATTGTGATAAGGTATTTTCAAATGTCATTTTTCTCAGAGCATATCAAGTCCCAATTATTTACCCATGAATTACCTGCTCTGAATACTATCTGAAAGCTTGCTGCTCAGTGCTTGCTTCTCCGGGCAGTGTCTTTATGCTGTTGTTGATGGGAGCTGGGTCAGGTGATGCTGCTGGGGAGGGGGCGGTTGGAGAGAGGGGGCTCTTTGATCACCCTCTGCAGGTATCTCTCTCTCCTCAAGAAAGAATAGCTCCAGCTTCACAGATTCTCCTCCATGTCTACGTTTGGTCTAATTTAGTCAAATGAAGCAAGCTTTGCATATTCAATTAATTTTAAAAATAATTCTTGAAGACAGGACCCAAAAGAGTTGGCAATCAAAACTTGAATTCACTTTAAAGATCATTGTCAATATCTGCTGTGGTTTGTTATTTTTCTTAATAGTATGACCTGTACAGAGGCGTCTGGTTTTCACAGCACAGACTCAGTGTGCTCACTCAGCGCTCATTGCCGCCCCTGGGAGAGGAAGTGAATCCATTTCACAGATGGTGAAATAGAGACAGGCGAGGGTGTGGCTTTGTTGAGACCACACTAAGTAAAAGCCAGAGCTGGGACAAGGATTCGGGTTTTTTAAGTCCCCAGCTTCAGCCTGCCCCACTATCAGGGGTGATTCAGTCAGCTTCTCTGCTATGAGTGATTTCAAATTCACTTCACCTTGTTGTCCCCAGTAAGGCCTTTCTGCCTTTAGTATTTTGGTTACTCAATGCATCCTCCTTGAAAACCACTATTGCCTTTTTCTTTTGCCAAGGGCAGGAAGGTACTGACATTGGATCAATTGTAGATCAATATTATATAGAAATAATGGAAACATCAACCCAGCTCCACATGTCAAATCTCTTATCCTCATGAAGTCAATGTCACAGCCTGCTGTGATCTAGGCTGTGGCTCTGCAGGCTGTGCCCTGTTCTCAATCACATCACCACTTCAGGCATTTCATGGGTGACTTAAGGGCTGATGTTTATGAAGTACTTAAAAATTGTTAGATGAAAGGCTCTTGACAGAGCCATCTCCCCTTTGCCAGTGTGTTAAATTTCTTTAGTGAGTAAACACATTAATGTAGAATTTCTTTGACTCTCACTCTGATGTGACACATCTCCGTCCACCAGTAGCTGTTGGGCATGCAGACTGTATCACATCTGGCCCAATTAATTAATTTAAAAAAATTCATGGCGTTGTTACAATTCCTTTCCAGGGACAACACATCAGCGTCTCATTTCAGGTCCTTTAGAGGGGACACAAGCACTCAGCTATTCCCGACCAGTTTGGTTTTCAGAACTTCAGAGCTTGAGCTCCGTTTCCAGTCTAGTCTCCTTCTGTCTAATGGTGTTTTTCTGGCTCCGCAGACATGAAGTTGCACTACGGTGATCTCACAGACAGCACCTGCCTGGTGAAGATCATCAACGAGGTCAAGCCCACGGAGATCTACAACCTTGGAGCCCAGAGCCACGTCAAAGTAAGTCGCTCCCTTGAGCTCGTGTTCCACCGCAGCTCGGGTTCCATGTTTCACTCTGGTGGTTTGTATCTTCCAGATAATTCTGCCGCTGGCCCTATTTCCCCCCCTTGGTCATTGAGATTCATTTGAATATGAACAAATCCCAAGGAAATTAGTTTTTAATAGGCTTTAAAAAAAAAAAAGCCTATTCTCTGTTGCTGCACAGTATCATCATCTCTTACTGCTGACATTAGAATGGACCCTTGGCAGTCCCCAGCACCACACGGTGCCTTTCCCGATGTTTCAGTCACATCTTGGATGAAGTGTGTATTAAAATGTTGGAAAACGTTAATTAAATTATAATTGAGAAAGTAAGATGCTAAAAGTAATAAATAAAATGCCAGAAAAGGTAACTTGATAAAACATCTATTTTAATATCAATATTGGTAGTGATTGATTATATTCAGCAAGCAATATTTTTGACTTCCAACGATATGTCCAAGTTAACTGACTTAACTTTATATTGATAAAAAGCATTGAGAAAAAAACTTTTAGGCCCCTTTCCTACTTAGTGTGATATAGCTTGCATTGATTTCTTCCCCTTTATTCAGATTCTCTGATAGTCTATCTACCTCTCTTAAATTTTTCTTCTGGAAAAAATCACAGTGAGCCTGAGAAGCCCATCCCTGGCTTCTAGCAGTCTGCTTAATTCAAGTTCTTGTTGATTTGTCCTAGTATTCACTTGAGTGATGAAATCTGAAGCTGGGGTGGTAGGTGTTGTCTTTAGATATTTCTTCAATTGGAATAATGAGTAGAGGTTGAAAAGGAAATCAAATAACTGAGTTCAAATAGCCAAAAAAAATTTCAGTTCTATTGACATCTTTTGTTTGATGAATGAATTCAGCAGTTTTATTTCAGAAAGTATTGAAGGTGATTTGCTGTTTGTTTTTATTCCCAACTTACATAGAATGGCAATTATATGCCTGTTTTATATACCTCTACCAGTTTCTACCGTCAGGCAGAAATTATAAACTAGCTCAAAAGAAACTAGCTCTAGAACATAATGTGAGAACATATTGCAAGATGCAGTCAACCAGGAGTTGACATCAAACTTAAAAACTGAGTACAAATCCATAATATAGTTTAACTTTGTTAAAGAATGTTAACTTTGAAGGATGTTACATATCATTGAATAAAGATAATTCTTATCTGCCTGTATTGTTGGGGAAAATTTTTTTTCCTTTAATCTCTGATGATTTTCTCTTCTGCATTTAAACTTAAGCCTTAGGGTGTGAAAGGTCCTTGGGTTAGCACTGTTTTTTTTGTTTTTTTGTTTTTTTTTTTGAAAGAGAAAACAACTTTGGAGTCTGTCTTTATTTTTTTCCCCACCACCTTCCCTTGTGTCCCCTGTCGCTTTCCCTCATATCCTTTGTGCCCTCAAGATGTTTACTGTCTGCTAGTTTTTTGAAGTGTTTTATATTCTTGAATTTCCTGCTCTGTAAATGTCCAGTGTTTGTTATTATGGCTCTGGCCTGGTTGCATATAACTCTCAAAGTCCCTCTGTGTTCTTGAAAATTACTGCCTTTGCCCTTTCTTATGGCTGTGTGGCACTCCATGGTGTGTCTGTACCATGTCTTCATGATCCAGGTGTCCATGGGTGGACACTCAGGCTGTTTCCATGTCTGAGCTTTTGTAAATAGTGCAGCTGTGAGCATTGTGGAACACAGGGGCTTTTGCAGCGATGGTTTGACATCATGTGGCAAGATGTCCAAGAGTGGGATTCCTAGGTCATGCAGTATTTCCATTTTCAGATTTTTAAAGTAAATTCAGATTGCTGTCTTTAATGGTTGTGCCAGTTTATAGTCCCACCAACAATGTGATAGGGTTCCTTTTGCTCCACATCCTCTCCTGTACTTGTTGGGGGTCTTTTAAGTATGTACCATTTCCTTGGGGGTGGTCGTGGTTTCTTAATTATAGTTTTAATCTGCATCTCTCTTATTAGGCGTGACAATGGACTTTTTTTTTTTTAATGTCTCTTGTCCTATTGGGTATTGTCTTTGGTGAATTGTCTGTTCATATCTGCTATTTTTCTAAGTGATTCGAATGTATTTTCTCATGTTGAAAGAGTGCCTTATGAATAGTCAGCCTTGAGAGATGATTGCCTCTCCTCCCTATAGAGCAGTGACTGTCACCCCAGAAATGAAAACTATAAATTGCGAAGTGAATCCACCATTCTCCACAATGTAATTTATCAAGTTGTTTCTTGGACTCCCTCACCAACTGTGAGAGTATCTTCCAGACAAAATGGAATGTTTTGGAGTGAGTGCTTTGTTATTCAATTTCCTTTAGATTAAGATGTTTCCTTTGTACTTGTTGATAGTTTATCGCCTCTAGAAGCTATAAACTGCTATGGAGGAAAGATACAGGAAATTTTAATGAGATTTATTTAGGGACAGCTTTCTCTCATCGTTTCAGTATTAACGGAGCAACTTTTCTCATTTTTCCAAAATGTATTTGTAGTTCAAAAAAGCCCATGGTGTTTTCCTTACTTGGTGTGAGCCTCACAGTGTCTGGTGGCATTCCAGAATGGTGGTTGTGTAAATACATCAGGCAATGGGGTGATTCCTTCTAAGTACAATGGATGTGAAGTTGATCAGTTTTTATTGTGCTTTGCCTGTTTCTTCTAAAAGCTAGTGAGCTGGCAGGAAAAGTGCTTTGCTCAATGTGAATGTTGAGACTTTGCACATGTGGTGTTGTGGGGGGACACCGAGATGTGTAGACCCATTTCTGTTGAGGAGGGGCTCAACGTTAATAGGGGTGCTCTGAGATGTGACAGGCTGGCACAAATGTCTCTGAATCTGTAGGGGCGTCTGAAAGAACCTATCTGAGGGGGTTATGCCTGGTGTCAAGGAGGAGACGGAGAGAGGAATGTGAACAACATAGTGGGGACTGGTAGTTGAAATGGAGATAACCAGAGAAGGTCAAGAGTTGGAAGTGAGAAAACTTGGAGCATGAAGAGCACCCTAGATCATCTGAGCAAAAAGTTTGCTAAGAAGTGAGAGGTAAGGCTAGATAGGAAGCTGGGTGATGTTTGGCAACCCTGCTTGGTAATATTATCTATTTAGAGATGGGTCTTCCAGGCAAGAGCCTAGAGGTAGGGCTTCACAGCAGAGGAAGCTGCCGGTGAAGATGATGGTTTCACAAGTGGGAATGGGGAGCAGCAAACAGGATGCCTGGAGGGGTGATCACTGCTGACAAATCTGCCAGATGCGCCAGTGCTCCAGACCAGACCCCCATGAGGCCAGCACTATGGCATGCCCTTCAGGGGGCACTGCTGGCAGGGAACGAGCAGTGCCCTCCTGGACACTTTCTACTGGCAGAACTTGAAGGCCAGTGGGTAAACCAGGAATGGATTGGTTTAAAATATATTGTGAGGTGGGAGAGTGATTTGGGGTACAGAGATATAAATTTAGTCATGGGAATTCTGGAGCTGCCAAGGCAGCAGTGGAATAGGAAGAATGGAGATGGCAAAGTCAATGCTAGGACCTTGTGCATATTTAGGTGAGGGAAGAGGAAGCATGGCCACTACTGACAGGAAGGTAGGAAAGGGAGAGACAGTGAGCTGGAATGGTGCACCAGAGACAGAGTGGGGAGCAGAACAGGCGGATCATCTGAAATACACTGCTGTGGGGAGCAGTGGGTGAGACAGGAGAGATCTGCTGCACCATGTGGGTAGCTCCCTGGCTGGGGATTGAATTCATGCTGCATTGGCTGGCAATAGCTTGACAGCACTGAGACTTTAACCCCTGCACCACCAGGGAGGGCCTGGAATGGATTCTTTTCTCGAAATTTCTTGGCATAAGGAAGGGAGAGAATATGATAGAGAAAGCTCCCGTCAGCATCAGCTGCAGCTTGCTGGACCCTTCTCCAGAATGTCTGGTTCATTAGGTCTGCAATGGGGTCTGAAAACTTCCCTATCAAGGACATGTTGGGGTGAAGTTGGTCCTGGTCTGACTTCACTTTGAGAACCACTGCCTGATAGTTCAGTTTCTTGCCTTATCCACACATCCTCTCACGTGTCCATTATCCTGTATGTCATGCCTCCTTCCTCTAGGATATCAGCTTTTAAATTTGATATAAAACAATCCTGTTTCTTGCCAAGTAGTGATTCTGTGACCTTTCGAAGCCTAAAACCACACTGACAGTTAGAAATGATAAGATTGGAGAGGGTCTTAGGAGAATCTGACGCACATTCCTACCAAAATTCTCCCCAATCAGAAAATTCCTTAGAAGTAGTGTGTAAAAAAAAAAAAAAGAGAGAGAGATAGTGTGTAGCCGGTGAGAATAAATACTGCTCAGGACCTGCAGATGTGCTGAACTCTCCTGTGAGTGCTGGCCACTGTCAGAATGAACCTGCAAGGCTATGTTCCAGGGCTACTGCATCTGCAGTGAGCTCATGTTTGGTTGATGCTTAGTTGTCAGAGGAGCAGGGAGGGACGGGGCACTGGCTCCAGGGCAGCTGGTGGTAACAGAGATGACAGACAGCCAGGCTGCAGGGGTCTTCGCTCTGTCCTGTCCACTTCTAGGCTCTGCATTCGACTTCAGCTGTCTCTGCCTGTTCCCCTGGTGGTGTTTTAGGGAGTTAGGGCAGAACATTTATATTCTGTGCCCTATAATTTCTTTCTCTGTGTCAATCAGACTTGTAGGATTTATTGTGCTTGTAAATAATAGTTGCTAAGTGAAAAGTCCTTCTGATAATATTGTAGAATGCTTACAAGAAGATAGTAGAACACTTAAAACATACTTCTTAATATCTGGTTTGGAGCCCTTTGGCCAGAAGTTTCTAATATTAGCACATTTTCTATTTCATTTTGACCTGGGGACTTCTGCACTGGGCATTGTTTGTGTTGGCTGCTGTTTGTGAGGAACGAAGTCTTCTATCACCCTCACTTCCAGTTAATTTGATGTGGGCTATGGTATGCTAAAAGTAAGGAAAATAAAATAATAGGAAGTTGGTCTGG